TATTTTACACATGTCTGCCGATAAGCTTTCTGGTCAGTTCAACGCTCATCCTTACCATTGTCAGTAAGGATTAGTGTAATCTGACTGTACTATTATCAGTAGCACGGCCAATATGCTTGCCCGTGCTACTGATAAGGCACGGGCAATATGCTCCAATGGTAAGCGCTCTACCTCCTAGGTCGTTCACATACTTGACATTGTTTTCCAGTCATCACAAATGCGACTGCCAGTGAGTGATTTGCTGCATGCGTACTTGACGCACCGCCGCCCGATGTAGGCAATCAATCTTCGCTACCATTCGCGGATGCCTTCTGAGTGTCACGGGTATGCAGACACTGTATGTACGAACGCGACGCTCCATCACAGCTGCGACACAGTTTGGGAGCATTGGATCGAGCCCGGTGCTAAGTCCCAGGAGATTCACCGCTGCCACACATCCATGTGGGCTGTTACGTGACCTGACTCCTGGACGTGCACCCAGGAGCCGTTGGTTATCCGTGCGCATCTGTTGTGTGACCCGACTCCTGGACGTGCACCCAGGAGCCGTTGGCCGTCCGTGCGCGTCTGTTGTGTGACCCGACTTCTGGACACGTCCGTAGGAGCCGTTGGCCGTCCGTGCGCCTCTGTTGTGTGATCCGACTCCTGGACGTGCACCCAGGAGCCGTTGGTTGTCCGTGCGCGTCTGTCGTGTGACCCGACTCTTGGATGTGTCCCAGGAGCCGTTGGTTGTCTGTTGTGTGACCCGTTTCCCGGACGTGACCCCAGGAGCCGTTGGTTCTCCGTACACATCTGTCGTGTGACCCGACTCCCATACGTGTCTCCAGGAGCCGTTGGTTGTCTGTTGTGTGACCCGACTCCTGGATGTGTCCCCAGGAGCCGTTGGTTGTCTATTGTGTGACCCGCCTCCTGGACGTGCCTCCAGGAGCCGTTGGTTGTCTGTTGCGTGGCCCGACTCCTGGACGTGTCTCCAGGAGCCGTCGGTTGTCTGTTGTGTGACCCGCCTCCTGGACGTGCCTCCAGGAGCCAGTGATCCACCACGGGCACGCGCCCGACGACACCAAGGCCAACGCTCTCAAGCAGTCGCTCGACTACCTGGACCGCTTCCTGGAGGGCCACTACGCCGTGGGCGACCGGTTGAGCATCGCTGACCTGTCGCTGCTCGCCACCGTCTCCCGCCTGCAGGCGCACAACTACCGCACCGACTCGTACGCACGCCTGCGCACCTGGCAGGCGCACCTGCAGGCGACGCTGCCCTACTACGACGAGTGCAACCGGGAGGGGATGGAGATGTACCGCCAGATGCTGGAGCAGAGGAAGCAGTGATGGTGGAACAAAGAAGATGGCGCTGGGGAGCGGTTGGCGGCCATGATATGGTCGTGCTCTTCAAGTTCTCTCGTTATTTTTTGTGGTAGAGCCAGAGAGGACAGCGAAGGTTTCCTGTGGTCGTTTCGTTAGAAGCGCGCGACACATGCATAAATCAAGCTTTATCGGTATGTCATTTAGATAATTATCGGTACGTCGGTTAGATAATTGGGATCGACGTTTAATGCACTAATAATGATTTAAGGTGGATGTTGGGGTCACCGTTCCGTACCCAAATCAGACATGACGGCGACCTGACTGATCTGGAGCACGGGGCTAGCTTTTCTAACCAAATGCTTCGCTGTTCCAGGCAGAATTGTTAGTCTAAGGAAACGTGGTAAGACAAGTAAACTTGAAGCAACCTGATGAAATCCATCCCGGTGTTTTCACACGGAGCTGACCGTATTGCGGCGCTCTTGACGTCGTACCGGCAGACTTAAAGCCGCTGATGGTGACGGTGCGACTCGTGCTGCCGTTCACATCAGTCATTCTGTGCAGGATAAGCTGCGCGTGTAGTCCATACCTATGCATCAATTTTAGCGAGTCGCTGTGCTTGGCCACGTGTACGTAACTGGTGGCAAGCACGCACAGGGTCGATGCCGGCTGTTAGCAATGAATAGTGTGCGCCTTAAACACGCTTTCATAATAGCAAAGGTTTGGATGTGTCGCAGATATCTGGTGTTCACCGGCACTGCAGGAAAAGATAAGCGTTTCTTGTAATGCCGGCGTTTCATGCAACTTCCATAACCCCACTATCATTGTGCAATCTGACTGCAAGCCTTAGGCGCTGCTTGGAGTGCCCACGAGGAGGCGGACGCTCCCCAAAGTCAGAGTAATTACGCTGTTTGGAACTGGGTGAAGGGACAGGTTCAAACATTCATCTCTCCAAGCTGACAGGACTAACTAAAAAAGCTCGAAATAAGCGGGACATTCGTTTTGTAGCTCAAGATAAGCAACGCTCGAAGACGATGATTAAAGACAACGTGCCTCTTTTTTAACAAGTTCGCTCGTGTGTGGCCAACAGTCATCGCCATTCGTCTTTCTGCTTGTTGACGCAGGACGTGCCATTGTGACATCTAAGCGTGCTCATTACGAGCGGTGCAGTAGCACTTGTGCATGGTGCTACACTGTTTCGAACCTGCCAAACACGCGCACGTGGTGAACCTCCGTTCGTGAAACGAAGGCTGCTCAAGAGAGGCCTCCGCAAGCCCCTGTTTTCCTGATTGCTGTTCGGCGGCTACTTCCGCATGCACAGACATGTGTGCACTTCCTTCATGATCTACTCAGAACTGACCGCGCACTTGAAACGACTGAGAACTTATGGTTGACGCGTAATCAGGTAGAGCGGTTAGTTTTATGCTTTGAGGAGAAAGTGCGGTGGACAACAGTAATCGTGCATTGGAACATCAAACGTAAGCGGCCCATTCCAACATAATTTTTGCCCCGTCTTGTCATACTTTGCTTGAAACGTCTCCAAAACTTTTCTGGCGTTTCACGAAATGCTTTGAAATGATAATATCTGCCCGGCAAAAAGTGCAGTAACAGCGCTTACGGTAACCATCACGTTTTATTGGATATTTGAAGATGCGCTTACTATTTCCAGTCAGCTAGCGTGAAAAGGATGATTTTAGGAAGGCTACATGCAACGCTGGCATTGCGTGAAACACCTAGAGTTTTCCTGACTATGCAAAACGCCTGCAACATGCGCGTGGGGTCCCGCTCCTCCTCCTCCTCCTCCTCCTCCTCCTCCTCCTCCTCCTCCTCCTCCTCCTCCTCCTCCTCCTCCTCCTCTCCCCCCTCTCTCTCTCTTTCTGTCTCTCTCGTGACAACCCTCCTCTCTTGAGCATGTTCAAAAACGCATTATAGACTAGCCTGGCGGATGCCCGTACCCAGTTGCCGGCCGCACGCCGAAGCCTTCGAGATAATCGTCAATGGCGCATTGGGTCAGACACGGGTGTCAGCTGAGTTGATCCCCTGTCTTGTTATGTGAATCGATTGAGCAAATTTAAAGCGAATTTATAAGGCAAACATGCAAACATTTAACGGGGCTGTGTAAGATTTATTCCGTCTGCGAATATTTGCATTTTGATTGACTTAAGATTGTGAGTCGCGTTTGGGGTGCAGCTTAACAGTCTTGAAAGAATACATTAGGATTGCGGGTGTATACGTGGAGCATCCTGAAGTGCCGTGGCGTACAGTTCCGTGACCGCAGTGGATGGTAATAACACCAAAGAGTTGTCACCACGCTGACTGTTGCGTGACTCGTCCCAGTGACGCATTGCTTTGAATGACACAATTCACTCCTTCGCTGATTGTGTAATGGCTTCGTGTTGAGGTTGTGTGTCTGCTTGCTTCTCTTGCTTTCACACAAGTTCTCCGCAGTACACGCTTGCACTAATAAGGCATTACTATATACTATGCCATTAGCTTGTTCAATAAAGAGTAGCAAAGAACGGTTTTCGCTTAGTGACACATTAAATGAGTAAGCTTCACTTTGCATCAATAATTTGAAAAATGTAAAACTGATAGATGAAACGGAAGAACAGCCTTTCTTATACACATATGTGTACTTGCCTGGACTTACAAAATTCAGCTCACAATTGTTGTATTTTGCGTCTTGAAGACTAGTGCCCTGACACTTAGCGTGCACGTATTTCAGGACCATGCAAATCCAGAAACAGATACATTTGACTACGTTTATTTCTCACAAAACATCAAAGCGAAGCCGATCTCCCTATACAGCAATGTGGAAAGAACGCACACAATTACAGGTCTAATTCGAATACATACATAGCTATTATTGAAAATGGAAGAACTGCCACACGACCGCAGGGCTAGGGTTTGTTTTACACACTGTTCTCAAAACTCGCGGAGAAAAAAGGATTGGGGTCATCAAATATTCGTTTAAAAAGTGCTAATTCTGTGAGAGGCCCTAGCTGCCGTAGGTAGAAGGCCGGCCAGCTCGTCACATTTTCACCGAAATGTTAAAATTTACAAAACAAACTACACTGGACTAGCGTGATAAGTTTGGCACAAGCAGAAAACCATTAGCATCGCATTGACCAAGTTGTAACTAAAACAAGCCGTAAGCTAACCAAAGCATCTCGTCAAAGCTCTTGCTTTCAATAAGACTAATTAAGCCTTAAATCATACTTAAGTTCAACTAAAAGCGTTATGAATTATCACAAAATGGAAACACGTGATAAAAATTGACAACACCTCTCAAACCGAGGCATTCCGCTGCCCAAGCAAGCAATGCACGCGGATAAAACATATCACGTGTCCAGAACCGATGGAATGATGTCCCGTAGACGCACCTCCGAAAAGAAGATGATTATTGACAAACACTGGCAGTGATTGTGCTCACAGGGCCTCGCATAGAAATCGCTGACCGCGGCGCGAAATGCCCGGAAAAAATTAAGAAGTTCTCATCCTCAGCGGTGCTTATTGCCTGTGGCCGCCCCGCGTCAAGTCCACAAATCCAAGCACACGGCGGGTGCGCACCCGCTAGACGGACAGCAGAACAGAGAGCAGAACGCACCAAACGGCGCGGCGCCGACACGAAAACAACAACAACTCCGGCGGTGGCCGGCGTATCACGTCTCTGGGCCGGCCGGGCGGCTGCAGCGGCCGGGGACCGGGTCGCCTACTCGGCTTGTTCCGAGTCCAGCTGCTGCAGCAGCTCGGCGTACTGCTCGGGGCTCATCAGCACGTCGCTGTCGACGCTGCGCCGCCGCCGCCGCCGCATGTTGCCCACCTCGACGCAGAGCACGATGAAGCGGTTGTTACAGGCGTAAGTTTCCTGTTCGAGCAGCCGGCTGTGGAACAGACTGCTGGCCATGCCGACCTTGTCAGCAGAAGAGGAGTGCCAGGCGTCGCAGTAATTGTCTAGGTCGCGCTCACCGCGCTCGGTGGCACCGTGCCAGACGATCTTCTGCGGCCTGGGGGTGCACGTCGAGCATGGTCAGAGGGCATGTCTGCAGTGACGCCGCTGGCAGCGCTGCTGACTGGGCAGATAGCGGCCAGGGACTGCAGGGCTCTGGTCATGGCGACGAGGCAGGCTAAGCAGCAGATACTGAGCTGACAAACACACACCAGAGACTGTGACCATTGTAACGTCATACACAGCTCGGTCATTGCATGAGACTCGATCAGTGCAGGTCCCAGGAGTACCACTTCACCGAATCATGACTGTTATCAACCTACAACCTAACACAACACAAGAGTGACAGTACCAACATGCCAGACAAAGGCACGGGACGTCGACAGCACGACTCAAAGCCTTATCTTGCCAATGTTTTCGTGGCCTCACAACGCAGCCACTTTTTCGGGATTTGTGCACACTAAAGCCCATCTTACCACAACGCATCCTGTAACACGTCCTTCCCGTCAAAGCTGTAGACCGTTGGTCTTTGCGCGAACACTCCTCCGTCTCCCTTATATATGCTCTTCCAGCTCTCAAATAGGAGATCACCCTGGCGAGACAAGAGCGGTCGGGTTAGATTACCGCAATAAATGTCGTACATTAAAACAAAGTTAACTTTTCTTTATGCATCCATCACACGTCCCCCCCCCCTTTCCAGCATCTACCTAAAAGAGTCTCCGCATAAGCACAGCCCCCATAATGAACGCCTTGTTCACCATTAGGTCGGCCTCCTCGCGCCACAACCAACCGCTGACCGAGTTGTCTGGCGAAGGCGCGTCGGCTCGTCATAAGGGGCCCGTCTGCTGAGGTTCAGTCACTGAGGCTAGACGTCGCTTGCCTCTCGCCCTGGCAGGGGGGCAGGGCACCGCGCGGAATCGAACCCGTGGCCTCTAAAAGCACAGACGCGCAGCTTAACCCCCTCACCATCTACACTATCGCGGGTCACGGTCCGCCCGTAATCCCCGCCCCGCCCTCTGACCTTAATGTTGACCACGGGCAGGGTGCGGTCCTCGGTGCGCACGATACTGTCCAGGTTCTGCGTGCGGGACGAGAGCAGCGCGCGGAACGTGCTGTGGAGATTGGAGCGGCGGGCCTGCCGGTAGCACTCGTAGTCGAAGCCCCGCAGGCCCATCTTGTCGCCGTGGTGAGGCTCATTCAGCGCCGCCAGACGCAGCTGTGCACAGCAGAGGCAGGGAGTGGTCACGATTCGCACAGCGCCGCCAGGCGCAGCTGTGCACAGCAGAGGCCGGGAATGGTTATAACTCGCGCAGCACACCGCCAGACGCAACTCTGCAGCGAGTCGGCAGGGAAGGGTCACAGAGCTGTGCACAAGAACCATGGGGCAGCTGGAAATGGTCACACAACTCTGCGCAGAGGCATGAGGTAAGGTGGGGCCGTCACATCCTGCCCAGTGGATAAAACAAAACGGTGAAATATCAGAAGGTTCACGAAACCAGATTGTTCATAATTCCCTTCGCCATGCACGATATGGGAGGATACAGCAAACGTCCTGGGGTTTAATGCGTAATACCTCGCTAACTATGGGTATGTTGTCCCTCTGAGGAGCCAGGTCCTTTACCAGCTGTTTCATTTTCGGCACTGCTCGGGGGCCGATTTTTAATAGCCGCAGGCAAAATTCCACCTCAAGTAGGTAGTTTTGCCCAAGAATAATCATTGTGTAAAAATGGCATGCCCATGACACCGAACGCAACGGTGTGATAACCGTACTCGACCAATTCAAACTATATGTAGCGGAATTCGCACTCTTTGTGTTACGTAAGGATGCCATAAGAACAAAATTAACATAAATGAATGACTTTCAAAGATATGTTGATGACGTATGGGAGCCATAGGGGCCAAATTTACTTAAAACGATGGCTTCCACAAATGTCGTCACCACTTATTCTAATTCAACATTATCATATAACATCCATGCATGTGTATCCATCACGAGGGTTTGATAGTGAACTTATTGAGGGATACCCATCCTAAGCTCGGGGGCACTTACCATGTGCGGATAGCGCTGGGAGAAAACAAAACAACGACGTTAGAAACAGTGTCGCACAATATTCAGCGCATAGCGGACCTTCAGCTTTATATGCTAGTTTTCAGCCACCCCGTTCCAAGGCCGTGAATGTTCACACCGATCAGTTACACCGAGTGCGTCACAACTCCTTCATGCTTGTGAAGGTGGTAAATTCCACGAGCAGTCGTCCTGCCAGCAGTTCGCTGGCACACACACCATCCCTGGAGCCAGAGCATCTCGGTCCACTGTTCGCTGGCACACACACCATCCCTGGAGCCAAGGTCTCCCGGTCCACGGTTGGCACGCACACCATCTCTGGAGCCAGAGTCTCCTGGTCCACGGTCAGCACGCACACAATCCTCGGAGTCAGTCTCCCGGTCCACGGTCGGCACGCACACCATACCCGGAGCCAAAGTCTCTCGGTCCACTGTTATCCGACACACACACCATCCCTGAAGCCAGAGTCTCCCGGTCCACGGTCGGCACGCACAACATCCCTGGACCCAAAGCCTCATGGTCCATGGCCGCCACGCACACCGCCCCCGGAGCCAGAGCCTCTCGGTGCACGGTCGGCCCCCTCCCTCGCCTCACTCCCACTCACCCTGGGGCCGTCCACCTGCGAGACGAGGTTGCCGGACTCGAAGGGGGGCGGCGATCTGTGCTCAGCCGTCTGCGCAGTGGTGGTGGGTGGCTCTGTCGGTTTATGATCCACCACGGAGCCCAGCTGTGCAAAGGTACGGCAGGTGTTACAGAGTCGGTCTGCGCACCGACAGAGTACACAACAGGTTCACAGACCCCAGCTCCGCCCACGTAGACGGCTGGATGGAGGTCAACTTTGCACAAACACAGTCCCCGCACAACAAAATTGAAAAAGTTTTTCCAATACTGAATCCAAAATGTCGGAAGTCCATAATTCCAATGCAGACGAGGTGGTCGCAGCGAACCGAGGTTACGTACCGACACGTATTGCCAGCCTGCGCTGACGCGGACCAGCAGGGCCTCCTCGTCCATCACGAACGCCAGCGTGCCCACCGGGCTGACCTCGGAACGCTGTCAGGTCACACGACGCAGGTCACACACCGACATACACATCACGCACTGATTTCGCACCTTTGCCAGGTCCACTGCCTGGGTCGGGTCGGGTTCGCACAATGTTGACGAGTGATTAAATATTAAAACGGAAGGGATGATGCATCTACAGATGAGGTTCGCACCAAGTGGCTTTGAGATTGGCAACGCATGACAATATGGTCACATCTGCTTTCAAGTTCTAGCGTCTAGTGGAGACGGGTTCCGCGTTTAATTGATCACCACATCGGCTGGACGATGGAGGATAATCCTTCAAAACATGATGCACAATACATAAAAGATCGTTGTGTTTTTTAAGAACGCAGTTAGCCACGGTAGCTTGGCGCTCAACGTGTATTTCGCAAGTATTTGTGGTTTAGGTCCCCTAAAATGTACTATGCATGATGTACGCGTCGTGTCGGCGAGTCAGATGGAACTCGGACGAACAATCCTGGTGTGAAACCTGGGGAGATATCATATGGCTGTGGTCGAGAACAGGTGACAAGGAGCAGTGGATAGGTCGCACAAGGGCGTGGCAAGGCCGTATGGTGGTAACGTGGTGAGCAGCTGCCCCGGCGCAGCGACTGACGCTGCTGACCGAGCCGGCCCGTGATGTGGCCTTCTGTCGCGCCCGTGATGCAGAGAAGCGACCGACCTTCAGCATGGCCTCCTTGTTGGGGAAGGTGACGGCGCCGGGAACGATCTGGGGCGAGGCCGCCTGCTGCCCGCCGCGGCCGCCGTAGCCCGACTCTCCAGGCGGTCCTGCCGGTCCTGCAGAGCGGCACGGGGTCTGAACACCGCGGACCGGCACAGGCCAGCACACCGCGGACCGTCACAGGGTCAGCATACGCGGGGGATCGGCGCAGGGTCAGATACCGGGGACCGGCACAGGGCCAGCACACCCGCGGACCGGCACATGGGTCAGCACACCGCGGACCGGCACAGGGTCAGCACACCCCGCGGACCGGCACTGGGTCAGCACAGTGAGAAACGGCGCGAGTTCAGCATATCAGGGACCTGCACAGGGGTACGGTCACGGCCGACCGCACTGCTTCACATACGCGGTCACTGATTAAAACACAGCTGGTCTGGCCCTGCTGGTGATTTAGAGGATGTAAGGGTATTTCAAGGCGTTGGTGATGAGCAACGTGCAAAATCCAGAGGGAGACATAAGGTGCCAAGATAGCAGTTCTTGTCAGCGACAGTATAGGTACCTTATCTCGAGCTCCACTGTTTTGCAACGAACAAGAGCACAACTGGTAGCACACGCAACTAGCACATACTCGAAATGACTGACAGATACCAAGATACAGATGAGCCACAGGTTCCAGCCCTCTCCGTAATATCATGCATGAGTTAAAAGCTACCGCTCTACGTCAATTCACCGCATCTGCAATCGTGTTCACGTCTTCTTTTACCAGCGCGCGTCCACACGATGCCTATCCAGTGCCCAATCAACACACCCAGAACAAAAACACGACGCAAGCAAGGAACGCCATCTTTCTTGCAGGTACTTTTCGCCGCGCTGTCTTCGTTTGAAACGCGTTTAAACGCACACATGGAACGCGACAGGTGCTGGCAAAAGGCATGGATCGTATTTACAGCCAACACTTAAGAACATCCAACTCTGATATCACTTCTCTCTGTTGCATGCAACGACGAACAGTACCGACACCTCCGCGTCCGTACCGGGATGGCCGGACATGTCAGAGGGGACGGAACCACTCGCGCATGGTGATGGGAAGCCGTTCAGGCACACTCCACGCAAGCGAGATCGGGTCTCTTTAAGCACATCTGTAGACTATCAAAACTTATTCATTTGAATAATCTAGGTTCATGTTGGTGCCACATTCACTGCAAACGCTAGACTTGCACCTTACCTCTTCTCCTGCCGCCTGTAGGGACACAGAAAGAAGCTGAAGCTGAACCCGTGACCCGGTGTGACAGAATTACACATGAGAAGATGGGTCAGCACATGTCACAGGAGCAACATTTATAAGCTATTATTTAGGCCGTGATACGCAGCTTGCGCACATCATTCGGCTCACAATAAGGACAAGGGATATATTTGAGTGTGTCGTAATCTTTTAGTGGCCCTTCCTTCTTACCATCACAACGCACTGACATTATTCTGATCTCAAACACGCAGACCAGTGCTACCTTTAAAAAACGGTACTGTATTTATATAATACGCTAACTGCAGTCCGCATGGGATCCAGCTTTTGCAGGCAGACGGTTTTAGGGAACACTTCAGATAGCACAAACAACAAGTACGCATGCATGACAACTCTTTCGATCACGCATAATGCGACGGAGAGCGCTTCGCCATGTCCCTCAACAAAGCGAAACGAGGGCGGCATGAAAGATGATAACGGCGCTACCCATTGATGTGCGCAAATATTACGTTTGTGGATCGATGAAGTACCGTGATCACCATCACACTTGTTCGCGGCCTTCCCCGCCGTTTGAATGAAAATATCCACGCGTATTACTTCATGTCTGAATGTAAAACGCACTCAGACACGTGAGAAGACATTCTCCCTACTTTAAACGAAAATACCCACATGCAATACTTCATGCTTGAATATGCCATTCATTGGACACGTAAGAAAGCATTCGGAATTGTCATGTACCATGGTGACAGTTTAGGGAGCAGTCGAAAACATGCTGAGTTGGCAATATGTGTAACTGCACATGTCAACGCGCATGGGAAACAGGCCATCTTGGTTCATAAGTGTAAATGTTTAGCTTCATGCAACACCGCGGGCTCACTCAGGCCTGGTGGCAAAAACAAACAAAGGAAGGGGGCGATATTGGCATGAGGTGTGAGGCCCTCCCGACCCAACGTCAGGGCTGGACGGGCGGGGAGGAGGGGAGGTTGGGGGGGGGGGGGACAATCCCTGGGAGCCACTTCACACTGCGCCAGCTAACGGTGCGAATGACCCTGACAAAGACACATCGTTCGGTCAACGTGAACCCAATGCTGGCCGCTTTACTGGCTCCGCGAGAGAGAAGCCCGCATCGGTCCCTTGAAACGGCGTACGTCTGTGCTGAACGGACCACCGCAAGCTACCAGCGACGAGCCGGCAAGGGGTGACTCCCGCCATGGTGCCAACCATCACTGATGAGCACCTCCCAACAGACAGGACGCGGCTTGCCTTCGCGGGACCCGTGCCAGACTTGGCGGCGTTGAGCCAGCACCCCGGTCACCGAAGCGCGATGCATCACGGGCGCGGCGCGTGGTCCAAACCTTACGGCGCCAGTGAATGGCCGTGTTTGGAGGACAAGTGTTTCGGATTTAGTCGAAATAATGACGTTATTGCGCTAAATCGAGTAATCTGCCGACAACTTGTCCTGAGTTGTTCAAAGTGGTGCAATACCAGGAACGTTTTCACATTTGGAGATAGTCTTAGCCTAATTGGAAGCTTCCTCTACATGAGCAAGGGGCGAAGCCGCTCCTGTAGATAACGCCGACCAGCTGAGAGGCGCCGGTTCTCCAGTTACAGTCTGGCAGAGAGGATGGAGACCTGCTCCCCGTCACTACCAGGGCTCGTATGCGCTTTTGGTGTTGGCGGGGGGGGGGGGGGGCGGGAGGGGAGCCATGGTTGCAATCACGACCAAGCACGCGCAGGAGTTGTAGGTGGTGTGAGTCGGGGGTGGGGACTGCTTCGCTCAACACCAGGGCGTCTAGGTGCCCGGGGGGGGGGGAGAGGTTCAATCACAACCACTGTCTAAACCTACCGCTGCCCAGCTGCAGACGGAGCTCCGTGATAGAGTTGGTGGGACGCCTTCTCATCCCTTTGTGAAGCGCACAATCACAATCAGTGGTGTCGCTCACCGAATCATTGTTAGTGACGTCAATTGTTATCGCCACATCACCACTGAGGTCATGCTCCATCACATCGTTAACAGTGGCGCCACAGCGTCACCATCCAACCATTCAGCGTCAGCGACGGGTGAGAGCAGCATCAACGCCGCCGCTACTTACAATGCCATCAACGCAAAACCACATGGTCTCACACACTCAGCATGGACTAATTCAGGACATGCGTCACTGGACGCACACACCATGGCGCTGACAGTAGCCAACAAAGCTCGTATAAACGGCCTCCTGCCAACGCTCAGAGGCCAACATTCCCGTCGCCGTCTGCCTGCACGCGTGGCCGCCGCCGCAGCGAGGCGGCGAGCGGCGCGCCCGTACACGTGCGCCATCTGCACCGAAGCAGCGCGTCATCGCAGCGGCTCGTCGGCGCGGCGATGGCAGCACAGCCGCGGGACGGGACGGGACGGAACGGGACGGGACGGGACAGACGGGACGGACGGAACGTACCTGGCAGACCGATGCCGGGCCGGCCGGGTGACCCCACCTGGCTCCGTCCCGCCGGACCGGGCGGGCCGGGGGGGCCTGGCTCGCCGACGATGGAGAGGCCTGGGCTGCCGACGTCGCCCTGCCCGGCAGCCGGCCGACAGCGGTCAGCGCAGGTCACAGACGGGGGCGGTGAATCATTCCACGTTCAGTCAGGGCCCCGAGGCGATGGCGCCAGCTCACGGGCCTCGTGATCGGCCGGCCCTGTCGCCATCAGCTGTGCTTGAACATGCTAAACAATACTCGGCTGCTGTCTCATGAAAAGAGCAAAGATACGACATGATAGGGCATTCATCCCGGCCGCACCCAATTGTTATGATGGCTGGACCACTACACCTCAGCACGGGCACAGGAACTCCAACCGTGCATTTGTCAGCGCTGATGCGGTACCTTGGGGCCTGCAGGTCCCGACGGCCCCGGCACCGGTATGTACATGCCTCCCTTGCCGTTTGAACTGTCCTCACAGCCACACACCTGCCCGAACAGAGTCATACAGGTCAGCGATCATCAGAACCCTGAACTGCCTCCCTCCCCCTTACAAACACCTGAATGGATTACTGCGAGCGGATATGAACGTGGCCCAGACTGAGGTTGATCAGGTTCGTCTACACAGTTCGGAAGTTATCTTTTGCTATCGTAAGCTCTTATGGTTATTTGCTGTCCAAAGGACGTCTAAACAATGCATAACCTTACCT